CAGTACCAGTAGTTGGAATGGTAGTACCCACTGGATCATGGTGTCCTTGACCTCCAACCGTAGGAGGAATATGGTGGTGCCCTCCAATTCCAAGATGATGAGCTTGCTTCGCTTGCAACTTCTCCGCCGCATGGCGAGCTTTAGCTTGATGCAGCTCCATTTTAGCTTCTGCTTCTTTTGCTTTCCTTCTCTCTTCTGCTATCGTTTTCTCTTCCTTTGTCCTTGCTGCTGCTTTCTCCGCCTGTTAACAGGAAAAAACCCTTTATATTTTAATTTCCATAAATAGAAAGAAAAACACTTACTATAAGTTAAAGAGTATTATTAATTCGGACCTTTTCTTCAGCTTTGGCTTTGAAAATATCGACATGCTCTTTGCCAGCGGCAGCTGCGTTGCTTACTTTCTCCTTCACAGAATGCATCTTCTTCTTTCTTCTTTGCCTTGCGTAGAATTCTATAGTAAATTGAAGGTTCTGCAGTTTGTGGGGAAATAATTAGTACTATGTGTAAAGAAGCTATAGAAGCCGGTTGAATTCCAAGAGTGCTGCCACATGTCCATCATGCAACCCTAAAGTCCTTGTTTGCTGCCACATCGACTCTTTTTTTTTTTGATTCATCTTTATCCGAAGTTCTCTAACCTAATTAATAAATTTGCATTGCACAAAATTCATTTAAAAATATACTTCATTCATCTGAATTTATGTAGGTATTTAATTGGACGCGAACTGTAATAAAAAATAAAAAATTTAAAATTTATAGTCTAAAATAAACTATAAATATTTATGTAACCGTAAATCAAATCATTGAAAGTGTAATAGATATTTTAAAAATAGATTATTTTTAAATAAAAAAATGATATTCCTTTGAGGCTCACTAACAAGGAACTAGAGCCACATGCATAAATTGGGAGGGAATATCTTTTTACTATTCTATACGTTATAATTTATGTGAATCTGTTTGACTGGGCACGGAGTTTTAGAAAAATAATTTTTTTTTGAAATTTGTGGTCCTAAACAAGTTAAAAAGAGGCCCGAGAGTACAAGTTTCTGCATTCTTACGGTTGACTTGATGATCTCTAATTAATATTGAAAGAATCTTATTAATTTTTTGAGGTACATACGTTAATCATTACATTAAAATGACGAGGAAACTGTTTAAATTAATTTTAATTTAGTAAACTAGAAAACAATAGATAACATGTTATAAAAATGAAAGTTATTTTTATTAGTTATAATCCTTCTCTATGGAAATGTTTTAATGGATTTATACCTTCAAACTATTTTCTCTTTATGCATTCCCTGGGTTTTGGTACGTACATGAACTTCTTTAAATTCGTCACCCATTTTTGAATAGCAATATTATAAACTATCATTAATTAGTTCTCTGCATTTTTTGTTGTGTTTTCTCCACCTTTTCAATTGAAGCGTATTTGGCACGAGAAATACCTTTCAACAGCATGCAAACTGGCTATGCTTTATTTTCTCATATACATGCTCAAAGTATCAATGTATATATTTTAATTTCTTCAAATCCAGAAAGCACTAGCTAGTGGTAATATAATAAACCTCAAGATGTTGAAGTTTGGCAAATTTGTCCCACATTGGTGGGCTCTTGAATTTTGGGGGGATTTTCCCCCTATAAAAGAAGGCCTAATGTTTAAGATTTAAACACACCTCTCATTTGCCTTCTTATCTGTTTAAGACATTCGTATCTTCTCTCTTTAGTATTATTTCACTTGTATTTTTGGAGTGAAATAAAATATTGGTTGTGTCCGAGGAGTAGGCAAAATTAGCCGAACCTCGTAAATTCTGGTGTTCCCTTTATTATTGTTTTATCGTCTTATTTATTATTTGGTGGCTGTCATAATTTTTG